TGGGATCTAATTATTGCCCAATAACTTAATTACACATTATGCACTTCTGTTGGAGCACGTTGTAATATTTCAGGTTCTTACAATGCCTTGCAGGGAAAAGCTGAGGACCTCAGTCCATGTTTTCTATCCAATAAAACTCTGTCTCACCAAAATCTGATCTTATTACCCCCAGTCCTTTTAATTACTCCCTCAGACATTCAGGTGGGGTGTCCTGCTGCCTTCCACCCTCAAGGGTGACCAATAATCAAGAAGAGAAAACAAAATTAATCAGGCTGAGGCGCCTGACCAAAGCCACTTCACCTGGTTGAAGGCTGCCAAAGGTTTAATAACAAACAATTAAATGTCATCGATGTTCTCCAAGCTGTGTCTGTGTGGATTCAACTAATCTTGGAGGAGGCATGTCAGAAATAAACCACACCTCCCTGCAGCTCGATTATCAGCTCTGTGGGCTCCCCACACATGCACAGCCACAAACAACCCACGTGGTGACACCACAGAAGAAACACACGTCCTGAGGAGCCGGGGGGGAAATGCCTGAATTTTGGCAATTCTGCAAACGAAGATGGCTGTGAGGTTTTCCTGTCCTTCTCCTTACTCACAAAATGTGCTCGCTGCTGAGCAAACACAAAACATTTACCAAAGAGCAGAGCTCAGTCCCTGCACAGATCCCAGGGGGTTTTTACTTGTTTGTTTGGTTGCTGTTTAGGGTTGGGTTCTTTGTTTCTTCGTTTGTTTGGGGTTTTCATTAATTTCTGCCTTTATTTCCCACCTGTTGCCTCAGGTGCCAGGGGATGCTGTAAATTCCCTTTTCATTTCTGCACAGACCAGAGGAGTCTGAAACACCTGGGGAATGTGCCCACCAGCTCTGACAGCCACTGGGGGACTGCAGGGGCACAGGGACAGCCTGGAAAGTGACCCAGACCTGCTGCTTCACACCAGAACCATTCAGAGACTCTGCCACGGGGAAGATCTCACAAAAACATTAACCCCAAGAGCACTGAAAACCATATTTTTTTAATTAACTCTTTCTGCAGAAGGTAATCCATTAAAAAATCCCAAAAGTTTGGAGAAAACAAATGCACAACACGTATTTTCATTTCTTCTCAGACGATGAGGAGAAAATCTCATCTATTATTTTTTAATTTCTCCTAAAAATTTCTAAAGCTTGGTGGTCTCTGGCCTACCTTTCACTGGAACACCACAGGGAATTCCCTGCCCACATGCAAGCCATGAGATTTATGGACTACACTAATTCTGAAGGTGCCAAAAAAACCCCAACGCTCCTCAGCCATCTACAGCATTAAACATGCACAGGATGCTGAGCAACTCGGGGGGATTGCCCAAAAAAAAGTAACTGTAATTAATTTAATCTTAATTTAAAAATGCCCTTTAAGTGCTGCTGCTTGGTTAAACGCACATTAAAGCAGCTGAAGGTACAGCAAAGCTGTTGGTGGCATGTGCCAAGCAAAAAGTGTAAAACAGAGAGGATCCACAAAATCTCTGTGCCCTCCACAAAACCAGAGCTGCAGCAGGCAGGAAAAAAAAAAATTCAAATGATTGGATTCTGTTAATCTGTGGGGACACGGACCTAATACTGCATTTAATTTTGCTAAGTGGGAGGAAGATTATTGCAGGCAAGACACAAAGAATATCTCTGCGCCAATCATGTAGCATTTGCAACCTTAAATACTCCGAGGCAGTTATTAATAACAGTATCAGAACATTTCCACTTATTCAATGCACAGTTATGAAATAAACTAAACACACAGGCCTCCTCCCAACGCGGACAATAATAATAATGGTAATATTTACATTCCTCCAATCACTTGTTTCCAGTAGTATTTCAAAAAGTATCTGTGAGCTTGCTGGGTAGCAAGTGCCAGCCTTCTTGAGGCTCAGCAAAAAGCATGATTTGGGGCATTTTGCTTTACTTTTGGAAGAGAACAGCCCCTCACTGGGACAGAGCCAGCCACTCTCCTTCCAGAGTTCTTGAAAGAAAAGCAGAAATGTGTTCTCATCCAGGCTCCCAGTGCCACAGGGAAGGACTTGTTGGGAGCTGCACTTGTTTACAACCCTCAGTTCCCCTGGGAAGAAGCAGTTTAACTAAAATCAGAACCTAGCTGCATGTGGTATTTACATGTCCTAATTTGCTGATTTGAAGCTCAGCCTCTTCCACACTGTTATTCTTTCAATAAGTCTTTGTCTTCTTTTTTTGCCTGAGATGTGAAATCAGAGTGTACAGCAACACCTGTTTGGTGTTTACGAAAACGCCTCTGAAATCTGAGGGGGATCCAAACATTTTTCTTTAAAAACAATAATTCCCTCCGCAGATCATTCAGCGCATGCAGCATGCTCAATTTGATCACACATTTCCAGAAAATCAGTTGATTCACTCTTTATGCAGTCATTATCAGGACGGGTTCTGTACTTTTAACAGATTTTCCTTTGAAGCAAATATCCCTCTGAAGGAAAAAAAAATCCTAATATGAAGGGGAAAAAAATACTAATATGCCAGGAATAGGCAAAATAAGCCCATTCTGGCATGGCAATTGTTTCTCAAGCCCCTAATGCTGCAATATCAGAGCAAATCTTATGAGGGATGGTGGTTCCTGTCACACCCAAATGTCCCCAGCAGGGTGGAATGTGTCACTGCCCAGCCCTGGGCTGGCTGGGACAGGGACACCACACCTGGACACACCTGGCGGCCAAAATTCAGTGTGCTGGGCAGGACAGCACAGCCCAGCACTCAGCTCTGGCAATTCACAGAGTTTCAGCTGGCACATGCCCTGACACTCAATGCCCAAAACAGCATTGAAAGGATCTGCAAGATAAGGAAAACAAAATCTGTCTGTCCTACAAGCATTGTCCATAATCTTTATTATTATGTAACTTGGAGAAAATGCATTGCTTTTTCAAATATCCACTCAAGGTATGCTGATGAAGCTCTCTGGTGTGATTAATTCCTCTTTCTCTCCCTCATTTGTGTAATTCCACAGCACATATCACTCTACTGTCTAAGTTACTCAGGTAAATAAACCCCAAAATAAAGCAGGTAACTTTTGTCTTTTGTCCCTCCTTTGGAGAAGAGAGATCTGATTCTTCAAAAACTGCCATAGAGCATCTCTTCTGCTTTTTTTTTCTTCATTCCATTAATACATTTGTGTGGTGAAATCAAAGCAAATTAAATACATGCAGCATTTTTTCACTGCCAGGAGTTAGCATGTGCAATATCGACTTTTCATTACCATCTGATTAAAGTTTGCCTGCCTCTGTTAATAAAGTGAAGGTTCATGGCTTACTGCTTCACACCTTTACGAATGTGAGCACATTTTCTAAATGAAAGAGATTGCTTAATTTTCAAATATTTTCCTTTTTTTTCCCCTTGTGATGGATCAGTTTTAGTCACTGAGGGAGTACCCTGTGCACCTTAGCAAAGATTTGTGTCTGTTTGTGTGTACACAAACAAGGGTGCACTTCAATGATTAAACATCTGTAAAAGCTGCTAACACTCAAAAGCTCTGAATAAAGCAGAAGGTGAACAGAAAAGGGTATTTCCTGATGGTCTCTCCTGAAAATTCAAACTAGCATCCCACAAAAAAAAAACCAAAAAAACAAAGCATTCTTCTGCCTCTGTAATCGCAGTCTGCTATTCTTGAAAGCACCAACATAGTTGATGTCTGAAGCAATAAAAGCTCAGCTTCCTGCCCTGTAATTATTACTAGATGTAATTATGAGCAACTCATTCATCACTATAAAAGCACAACCTAGGGCTCGCAGAGAACAGGCATGGAAGGGATTTGTTTTCAGGCAGCTCCCCTGGCCAGGCTGCAATTTAACAACACCGCCGATAAACAAGTGTAGTAAGCCCGTGTAAAGAAGGCAGGGCAACATCCATGTTTAATATCATCTGGGGACCCTCCGGTTTACAACGCTGTGAAAACATGCCTCAAAGCCACCAGCAGGAACCGGGAGGGTGAACATGGCACGAGTACAACCACCCCAGCTCCCCGAAGTTCGCTCGCTCCACCACGAGACACCCGGAGGCTGCCCAAGCACACGGGGATTATTTTTATATTTATAGATGGGGGGAAAGCACAAATACCAGAGAGGCTCCGAGCTGCCCGTGCAAAGTTCCCTTTGCAGGGCAAGTGGGTGGCCCTGCAAAGGGAACTTTTAATCAGAGATGTGCCGGGCTTGAGGGCACGGCTGTGGCTGGTGTCACTCTGTCACAAGCCTGAGGAAACACCTGCAGCCAGCCAAACTTCCCAAAACCCCTCCCGAGCAGGGGGAAAGGCACCGGGGCACGCCAGCACCGGCCTGGAACACACTTCTAACAAATGCAGACCCGAGAAGAGGCACGGGGAGTGGGTGAGACACCCGACCTGCCGGCACGCCGAGCAGCCACAGTCCCTCCCCGGGGTTATGTAATACTCGGAGTGTTTAACCACGGCGGCTCTGACACACGCCTGCCACCCAGATCAGCCCAGGGCAGGGTCAGCCGGGCAGGGACAGGGCAGGAATTCGGCTCTGCGGGGGAAGGAATCCCACCCTTAACCCACGGCCCGGCTCGGTGCCACCCCCGGCACCTCGGGCACGGCCAGACCTGCCCGGCACGGAGCCGGGGGATGTGCAGGCTGCAGTCAGGGCTCACCCGGACCCCCAGCCCCTGCTTTGGCCGCGGAGCATCGCCGGGAGAGGCGGCAGCCGCACGGGGCAGGCTCAGAGCATCCTCGGAGCGCCCAGCGCTGCTCCGGGACTCTGGCCCTGGCTGCGCCCAGTTTGCCGAGGAATGTGCACAGAGACCGCTGAGCCCCGTGCCACGCCGCTCCCGGGCGGCTCAGCCCGCGCCGTCACCGGGGGCGACCACGCGGGGACCCGGGGCCACCAGCGAGCGCTCCAGCGGCATCTCCCGGCGGGGCCGGGCCGGGGGCGGCACCGCCGGGGGCAGGGGGCGGCCCGAGCGCTCCCTCCCCGCCTGCCCTCCACCCTCGGGGCGGTACCTGCTTGTCCAGCGCGGCATCCTTGGCGCTGCCCGCGGCGCATCCCTTGGGAGCGGGCACCCGCTCGCAGTTGCAGCCCTCCAGCATGTACATGCCGGCGGGGCGGGCGCTCTGCTCGCCCTCGAAGTAGAAGAGCACGTTCTGGTAGAGGGCGAACCACTTGTCGTGCCAGCGGTTGGTCTCCGCCGTCTTCTTGCCCAGGTAGCCGCGCTTGGTGCCCTCCTTGCGGGCCAGCAGCGCCAGGTACAGGGCGTGCCCCTCGTTGTACCGCACGCTCTTCTGCATGGTGCCCGGAGCCCGCGGCCGCGGCGCAGCCTCGCCGGGCGCTCCCGGAGCAATTCATGGGCTCCGGCACGCACCGACGGGGCGGCCCCGGCCCCGCGCCCCGCCCGAGCGGCCCGCCGCTGACGCGCTGGGGGGATCAGCCGTAAAGCCGCTTTGGAGAGAGATTTAAAGAGCAAAGTCGCCGCCGCCGCGGCAGCGGCAGCGCCCGGGTCCCTGCCCCCCTCCACCCTTCCCCCCATCCCTCCGCTCTCCGTACTCCCATCCCTGCATCCCTCTATCCCCCCGTCCTTCCATCCCTGTATCCCCTCATCCCTGCATCCCCCCGTCTTTCTGTCCCCCTATCCCTGAATTCTCCTATTCTCCTATTCCCCCACCCCTTGTCTTTCTATCCCCCCATCTTTCCATCCGCGTATCCCCCTCTCCCTGAATTCCCCCATCTTTCCATCCCCCTGTCCGTCCATCCTTCCATCCCCCATCCTTCCATACCCCTATCCCCCCATCCCTGCATTCCCCCATCCCGCTACCCCTCCATCCCCCCGGGATGCGCAGCGCTGGCCGGGCCGGGCCGGCAGCCGCGGGGCGATTTGGGGCTGCCCCGTCTTTTTCGATAGTTTCCATTCTTGGAGGGAGAATCTTGGAAAGCGGCAGGGCCGGGCGAGCGCGGCCGCCGGAGCCGCTCTAACTCCGCTCCCGAGCCGTGCCGAAACAATTAAAGCAAAAGGCAGCGGGGAAACCCACGAGAGAGACCAGAAACCTGTCACTTTTACCCCGAAATTCACGCCGATGTTGGCGCGGGGGGAGCGCGCCGGGTGGCACCGCGGGGACCCCAGCCCCGCATGGGCTTGGGCAGCTCGGGGGGCACAGAGGGAGCCCCGGCACGGGCTCCAAACGGGACCATCCATGGGATGGAGCCGGGGATGGAGCCGGGGAGGCAGCCGAAAGGGAAATCTCCGGGTGTGCTCCCACGCCGGGGATGGCAGCAGGGGCTGGCTCCTGCCCAGCATCACCTGCACACCTTCATGACAGCCACCAAACCCAGAGTGCTTTGCATAAAACATCCCGGCATGGAAATTTCTACCTGCACGCTGCACCTTTAATTCAGAGACCCAGGCTTGCTCTTAGGGCTCTTTCAGGAAAAGCCTTGGAACTGTTTCGTTTGAAAACGTATTTTGCATATGTGGCTTTCGCTCTGCTGCGTCTCATGAGTAATAAAGAAAAAGGAATAAAAATGTGGAAGTTACAACGTTCAGTATTGCTGTAAAATGCGCAGAATGAGTTAGAAAATATTTCCTGTGTGATCTGTGTCAGCACCTGTGGTTCTGACATGTAGTCAGTCAAATATAAATGATCTGTGTGTTATTTGCAGGAGCTGAGGGCCCATGCAGGGTTGCAAGGCTCTCGTCTCGCCAACAGACACTTTTTTATTAGAAAAATAGATACACAACAAGCAGATCCACAAACCCTGCTGGAGCTGGCTTTGACTGCCTTGTGCCTTTTACAGGGTGAAATCTGAGCCCAGCTCAGCAAGGCCAGGCTTTGGGCAGGGCTTGTGCAGCACCGGGGAGGTGTGACAGGGCTGGTGCCCACCCAGCCCGGGCACTCACCTGCCCCACGGATGCCTCCTCGCCTCCCCTGTAGAATTCCATGGAATTCTAGCAAAGGGCAGGGCAGCCAGACCAGGGAGAGCAGCAAGCTGCCGCTCAGGGGAGCCTGCAGACATCTGATGCTCAGTGAGGAGCTGGAGCTCTCCAGAACAGGCACGTCGTACATCACGGCGAAATCTACAGCAAGAGCCCATCTTTGCCAAGATAAAGTTGCAGGCTTCTGTCCCAGCTGACGTAATTTGTGCTTTAATAGAGCTTTTTTGCACAAATCATGAATGATCACACATCATCTGTTCCAGCAGGTCACCTGAGACACACAGGAAAAAAATAAATTACAGGAGTTAAATTTTATTTGTAAAGAAAGAAACAGAGGGTTTTCTTTGGCTACATCATTTTCTCCTAGACATGCAGGCACTTTTCCTCAGCTGAAAAGGTTGAATATGTCATTGCACAGCAATCTGTAGGAACCAAATGGAGTCCAATAATCCTGGTCACTACAGTGAATGCTGTTTGTGTAACCAGCAGCCTGTCCTTTATTGTTCAAGTATGATTTAGTTCTCCCCATGATATTATCTTTAATACTTATCACTGATCATTCTCCTACAAGGACAACCTTTTTCTTGCTTTAAATAAATGTCCACAACACATATATGAGCATATATACTATTTAATACATCCAAATGTATCTATGTATCTGTATGGGATTATTTTTAAAAATTCTTCATTATCAACATTAAAGAAGGGCTTGTTTGTGCTTTAAAAAAAAAGGAATTCTAGGCCAAATTCATATGTATGAACACGATTGAGTTATATGTGCAAACAGATGTAAAGGAATCCGTGGATGTAATTTATTCCATAGGGCTCTGAGGAAGAGAACATGCAGATAAGCACACAGTTTTACTTCATTTTATATCCTAATCTTCATTTTATTGTATTGTAATTCCAGAGGATTACTTTACAAAAACACTTCCCCAAGTGTTGCCAGGATGGGCTCCAAGTACCTTGCTGTAGAACAACAGGGGAAAGTTGTGGTCCTGTATCAGCAGAGATAATTTGACCCAATTAGGCCACACTTAACCTGAAATTTCCTTTGGGAACTAGTCCGGTGCAGGGTGCTCAAAGGTGTCATAAGCAGGGAAATACATGGAGTTGTGTTCCACAGCAGTGGAATTGCTGAGTCCCATAACCAGAAGTGACCCTGGGAATTTGGGGGGCAGGGCAGCGAGTTGTCAATCCTCTGCATGACAAAAAAAAAAAAAAAATCTAGAAAATCTAGTTTAGAAATCATGTAAAATTTAGGTCTCTATCCTGAAAAACACTTCAGAAAAAGTACCGTTAATGTACAGTTAATAAAAACTGAGTAAAGCAATGGAGAAGTTGTTATACCACTGTTTTTATGTCTGGTTTTGTATATACATACTCCATTTTTTATATGTTTATTTGTCACTAAATCACTATTTGCATTTTCATATCAGGGTAATGTATCAAATAAAAAATGATTTAGTAAAGCTGTTGAAGAAGTTCTGCAAGAACTTCTGGGGAAAAAACCCAGTTTCACTAAGAATGCACCTCTGTGTCTCCTCCTGCAGATTGTTGGAGAAGCAGAGCTGATCCATTCTCTTCTCTGTGATTTTACTCACAGAGTAAAATTTTGATTTTGCTATCTGACTCTTTGCTCTTCGAGGCACAGAGCACAACTTGGCTGCTTGAGAGGAATTTGTATTATTCAGCTAAGATTCAGTTATCTGATAAAGAAGGAAAATATTGAAATGCACACTTCACATCACTGCCATTCTAAGGCCTGAATATCTTGCCAAATACTTTGGTTTCACAGAGCTGATGACATCCTTTGAGAGTTACTATTCCTCTTTTGTGGAGATATTTTGGGGAGGAATTTTCTTGTTAGATCAATTTTAAGTCGCTGTGTATACCACAGCGGTAGTTAATTCCAGATGGATTTACCTGTGGCTGCTCAGGGGTGTGAGAGGTGCTGACACAGGTGTGTCCATGAGATTCCCTCCTTCAGGAACCCCAGCCCAATTCCCAGTGGGAGCTCCAGCTGAAGGCAGACACCTGGAAATCACCTGTCGTGAAGGTGAGGATAGCATCATCATCATCACCATCACCATCACCAACATTTTTTGTGGTCATGCCTTAACCTCTTAGTGCAAAATGCTGCAGAACCACAGGAAAACCATCCCAGCCAGGAGCCACTTAGTCCAAGCAGAGGATCAGATCCCTAGAGGCAAGAAAGGAGTGCAGGGAGTACGTGCTGCCCTTTGTGACAGGCAGCATCCCCAGGACACAGCTGGCATATCTGCTGCTGGGATTTTGGGAGAGAAGAATAGCTAAATAAGGTTGTAGAGCAACTTTTGAAAGAAACAGTTTGGTGTGTCTGCAGAGGTCGTTGGTGAGTTCTTGCCTGTGGTCAAGGACAGCATGAGAAAATACAAAGGGCTGTTGAAAAGGAACGAGAAAAATAAATGCAATGCAGGAGGTGTCTCACAGTCAGGCTGGAGAAAATCAAAAGCAGAAGGGGAAAAAAAAAAAGAAAATCTGGAATCAAGGGACTCAATTAAAGTGGAGAAATACCACTAGTAAGGCAGGAGGCAGAGGCAAGTGGGCTGAGGGAGAGCTGAGCCTGGCTGGCAGAGTGATGGTAATGAGAGCGTGGTGGGCAGGGAGCAGAGGGAAACTCTGTGAGCTGGGGGAGACAGAACCAGGGCAGGGCAGGGGCAGCTGGGCTGGGTGGGCAGGAATCCTGGAGCAAACAAAGCAGCAGGGGCAGGAGAGCTTGGCAAGGCTGGGACAGGGTGAGGAAGAGCTGGGAAACACCCACTGGGGTGCTGGGGGTGAGAGCAGGACCCTGGGGCAGGACCCTGGGGCTGGACAAGGGCACAGTGAGGAGAGGAAGAGGAGGGTCGGCTGGGGTCAGTGCAGCACAGCAGGTGAAGGGAAAGGATCAGGGCAAGGGCGGTGCTGGGAAGGAAAGTGGCATTTCAAATGTGGAAATGCTGGTAGTCCAAACCAGTGCTGGAATCACGTGGGGAAGAAAAGACAGCAGCTTTTCTCCTTAAGCCTGTTTTCAGCTGGTTCCTTTTCAGCAAAAGGTTTGCCAGCTGGGATTAAAAGGGAAGAGCCAGGATTCAGCTTGTTGACCAGACATGTTAATTAAAAGTTCCAGGGCTATTTTATTTAATACAGATGCAACAAGCGTTAGCTACGCACTAAATGCAAAATGCAGTGACAACAATGCTTCAAAACTTTATTCACATGACTGAAATTTTCATATGGAGACACACACTCTCTTGCTGGAGATATGACTGCCAGAGCCAAGCCCTGAATTTGAAAGTAGAGATTATTCCCTTTTCCCCTGCTCTGGGAGCTGTGTAATGAGAATTTCACAGACCCTGTGATTGGTGTGGTGTCCTTAAGAAGGGCATTGTCCTACAGCTCACAAATTGCTAAAGCATGAGGCTGTCTCGACGTTGTGGGGAGATATCTC